TAATATACAATAAAAAAAAAGCAGCTGGAGTACTCACATGTGCACATGCACATACCTAAACCATGTTGTGTGACTCCATAATGAGTCAGATAAAATGCAATATAACTTTTATAAACAAGGTGAACTTACACAATTTTGTCAAAGCTACTGAACATCCATTGAAGATTTTGAAAGCAACAAGCACATAAGGCTGTCCATGTGCATTGATCGTATGCAAAATCATAATGGCTCTTGGTTTTAGTAAATTTTCAAGATTCCTGGAATTTCCCACTAAGATTTCTCTTTATTTCGCTAATGTCATTGTTGCTACCTTATTTTTCATTTGGAAAACGCTTGCGACATCTAAAGACCACCATCTTCCAATTTTTTTTATTACTACTTGCACTTGGAACAAGAAAAAAATGCAACAAGAGTCATCATAAGTCATGCCTCGTGCCTTCCAAATTCATTTGACATACACCTTTGGACCTTTGGTAGATTCAAAATATTCACTGTAGCAGCACAGATTAAAATAGCACTATATATTGGGCTTGAAAATAAAAGGTAGTCGAAAAAAGTTACTATCTGCTCATGCACCAATATAATTGCTCGCGACCGTGAAGCAACCTTTCAACCAACTCTGATAACCCATCTTCATTGATTCAAGCCTAAAAATTAAGCTATAAACACCAATCAGCTGCTATTCCCATTCTTTACGGTCCATTATTCAATAATTATAAAGCTAGAGATAGATAACCAGGTATTCATATTAGTGCATCAACGCCAAGTTGCCAACACATACAGTTACTTCAATATCATCGAAACCATGAGCAATTAAAGAAGATGAGAAGAAAATCATATAGGTCGAAAAACGCAACTAACAAGGCAATCAATCAAACAGCGTTAATACCGACGAGAACACATACCCTCGACAGCATCCATTGGAGGAGCAGCACCGGCGAGTTCTCCGGCAGTACGTGCCGGGCCATTGGAGGGCGAGCTTGAAGTAATCGAATTCTCTCTGTTTGCTCCCTCCTTTCTCTAAGATTCCCCCAAAAGTCCCACCGGCGCTGCTGCCTGCGACGCAGAACAACCCAATCGATGCAATTATAACGAAGATTAGAGGTCGAGCTGCGAAATTAAGCGGTGAGGCCATGAGTGTTGCACGGAGAGACGGCGATGCTGTCGAGGTAGTTGCGTGGTGATTGATATGAATGAGCTATTGTTATTAGAGTTGGTTTTTACCAAGATAATAGTGTCTAGTCTTGCATATATAAATAAACTCAAGTCTTGAATGACATGGATAAAATTATGTAAATTTAACAAAACTTATTCCAATGCAAATAGACTAAGTTTTTCCTTGGATCTAAAATAGACTTAAGGGTAGATCGAGTCTCTTTTTCTGGCTGTCACATAAGCATGACCCTGTCTACTTTTATTTGCATTGGAGAATAAAATTTTTTAGACTTAGTCTATTTATTAGGTGTCATATAATTTTTTGGGATTGAACCCAAAGTAGTGTGGATGCTCTAATGTGTCATAATTGATGAGACTGCTGTGAAAGAAGCAAACGAGGAATTTGTAACCGAACGGTTAAAAATTAAAATAGGACTAGTTCCATAAGCGTACCATTTTCCAATTAAAATAGGACTACACCAGGGTCAACATTGAACCCTTATTTATTTGTCTTGGTGATGGATGAGGTCACAAGAGACATACAAGGTGATATCCCTTGGTGTGTGATCTTTGCTGATGATGTGGTGCTAGTTGACGAGAGTAGGGCAGGAGTAAATATGAAGTTAGAGCTGTGGAATGACACGTTAGAGTCGAAAAGCTTCGGACTTAGTAGGACGAAGATCCAGTACATGACGTGCGCTTTCAGCATGGCTACACATGATGATGGTGACGTTAGCCTTAACGAGCAAGTGGTGGCCAAGAAGGAGACTTTCCGGTATTTAGGATCGATGCTACAAAAGGGTGGCGGCATTGATGAAGATGTTAGGCATAGAATTGCAGCCGGTTGGTTGAAATGACGTCAAGATTCGGGCGTTATCTGTGATAAGAGGGTGCCATTAAGACTAAGAGGTAAGTTCTATAGAACGACGATTCGCTCGACGATGCTATACGGTGCTGAATGTTGGCTTACAAAAAAGCAACATGTCCAATAACTCAGTGTAGCATAGATGCGTATGTTGGTTTTGCGGGCACACAAGAAGGGATAGAATCCGGAATGAGGATATTGGAGATAGTGTAGGGGTGGCTCCAATTGAGGAGAAATTGGTTGAACATCGGCTGAGGTGGTTCGGACATGTACAACGGAGGCCTCCTGATGCAGCGGTGCGTAGGGGAGTTTTACAGCGGGTCGATGATGTAAAGAGAGGTAGAGGTCGGCCTAAACTCACTTGGGAAGAGTCAATTAAGAGATACCTTAAAGATTAAAATATCTCCAAGGATTTAGCGGTGGATATGAGCGTTTGGAGGCTAGCAATCAACGTGCCAGAACCAT